GAAAATATTTAGCCTAGAAATAATAGTTATAGATTCGGATTTTAGTTTCTCATGAAATCGCTGTAATCGCTTTTAGATATAACTCACTCAATTTCTCATAAAAATGAAATATTCATACGTAGAATAGATAGTAAGGAATACAGCCGTGGTCCGTGTACCGCTAGCTCGGAACATTAAACTCACCAGGTTTGAACAAGAATAGTATCGACCTACATCGATATACTTATCAAACTTCCATTTAGTGCTATGAAATACTATCTGGCAGCTAGGGGAGGTAACATATTGCCTCGGTATTGACCAGCCTCTAAGAAAGCATGGCACAGTCGACTGAACAGTCTCTTGTGACAATATTTGTGCTCGCAAAGATATGAATAATTGATCACAAATTCGTAGGTCATATATAAGTTTGTGACAACTGAAAATCAGGTGTGATATCCAATTGTTGATTTTATTAGTATCCGATACAGATCTTTAATTCTGTATTTCAACCCAAGGAGTACAGTTTGTTAACACCAGTTGCGGATGAGTTTACGATACTTGATTTAACATTTGTAAAAGTTTCCACTCAAGAAGTAATACACTCTTACAAAGATCGTTATTGCATTTTTAGTTCCAAGCTAAACTGAGAGGGGAAAAAAGGTAGAAGAGAGTTTGTGTTTTTTTTAATGAAATTGAAAACTGAAATAACTGTTGTTAAATTGCATCGTGTCTATTTATCCATCGTTTTTTATACAATAACATGTAAACGGCAATCGGTATGTCAACAAGTGTGTAAAAAAATTGGTTCAATGAAAACCACAAGAGCCCCACCATGTTTCAAGGGTGAATTATTGATTTTCAAAGAAATGTGTCTAATGTGCCCATTAACAGTTATCGATTGTCTATGTTTCGGATTTTTTTATAAGATTTAAAAATTTAATTTATATTTTTATGAATAAAACCACGCAAACGTATGCTTTTAGTAGCCACCAAGTTCAGACTCATTTTGTTCATTTTGTGGATGTAATACCGCTTATTTACAATAAATTCACTAATGTTAAATAGTTACAGCACCTTGAGGTCGTGTAGTTACAGCATCCTAAATGTTGTACAGCTACAACGTCCTAAATGTTGTACAGCTACAACGTCCTTAATGTTGTACAGCTACAACGTCCTTAACGTACAGTAAAACTCCTTAATGTTGTACAGCGTCCTTAATGTTGTACAGCTACAACTCCTTAATGTTGTACAGCTACAACGTCCTTAATGTTGTACAAACGTCCTTAATGTTGTACAGTTACAACGTCCTTAATGTTGTACAGCTACAACTCCCTTAATGTTGTACACCTACAACTTCCTTAATGTTGTACAAACGTCCTTAATGTTGTACAGCTACAACGTCCTTAATGTTGTACACCTACAACTCCCTTAATGTTGTACACCTACAACTCCCTTAATGTTGTACACCTACAACTTCCTTAATGTTGTACAGCTACAACGTCCTTAATGTTGTACACCTACAACGTCCTTAATGTTGTACACCTACAACGTCCTTAATGTTGTACACCTACAACGTCCTTACTGTTGTACAAACGTCCTTAATGTTGTACAGCTACAACGTCCTTAATGTTGTACACCTAAAACGACCTTAATGTTGTACAAACGTCCTTAATGTTGTACACCTACAACGTCCTTAATGTTGTACAGCTACAACGTCCTTAATGTTGTACACCTACAACGTCCTTAATGTTGTACAGCTACAACTCCCTTAATGTTGTACACCTACAACTCCCTTAATGTTGTACACCTACAACTTCCTTAATGTTGTACAAACGTCCTTAATGTTGTACAGCTACAACGTCCTTAATGTTGTACAGCTACAACTTCCTTAATGTTGTACACCTACAACGTCCTTAATGTTGTACACCTACAACTTCCTTAATGTTGTACAAACGTCCTTAATGTTGTACACCTACAACTTCCTTAATGTTGTACAAACGTCCTTAATGTTGTACACCTACAACGTCCTTAATGTTGTACAAACGTCCTTAATGTTGTACAGCTACAACGTCCTTAATGTTGTACAGCTACAACTCCCTTAATGTTGTACAGCTACAACTCCCTTAATGTTGTACTGCTACAACGTCCATAATGTTGCACAGCTACAACGTCCTTAATGTTGTACAGCTACAACTCGTTTAATGTTGTACTGCTACAACTTCCTTAATGTTGTACACCTACAACGTCCTGAATGTTGTACACCTACAACGTCCTTAATGTTGTACACCTACAACGTCCTTAATATTGTACAAACGTCCTTAATGTTGTACAGCTACAACGTCCTTAATGTTGTACACCTAAAACGACCTTAATGTTGTACAGCTACAACGTCCTTAATGTTGTACAGCTACAACGTCCTTAATGTTGTACAGCTACAACTCCCTTAATGTTGTACACCTACAACTTCCTTAATGTTGTACAAACGTCCTTAATGTTGTACAGCTACAACGTCCTTAATGTTGTACACCTACAACTCCCTTAATGTTGTACACCTACAACTCCCTTAATGTTGTACACCTACAACTTCCTTAATGTTGTACAGCTACAACGTCCTTAATGTTGTACACCCACAACGTCCTTAATGTTGTACACCTACAACGTCCTTAATGTTGTACAAACGTCCTTAATGTTGTACACCTACAACGTCCTTACTGTTGTACAAACGTCCTTAATGTTGTACAGCTACAACGTCCTTAATGTTGTACACCTAAAACGACCTTAATGTTGTACAAACGTCCTTAATGTTGTACAGCTACAACGTCCTTAATGTTGTACAGCTACAACGTCCTTAATGTTGTATACCTACAACGTCCTTTATGTTGTACAAACGTCCTTAATGTTGTACAGCTACAACTCCCTTAATGTTGTACACCTACAACTTCCTTAATGTTGTACAAACGTCCTTAATGTTGTACACCTACAACGTCCTTAATGTTGTACACCTACAACTTCCTTAATGTTGTACACCTACAACGTCCTTAATGTTGTACACCTACAACTTCCTTAATGTTGTACAAACGTCCTTAATGTTGTACAACTTGTTACAGCTACAAACGTCCTTAATGTTGTACACCTACAACGTCCTTAAAGTTGTACAAACGTCCTTAATGTTGTACAGCTACAACGTCCTTAATGTTGTACAGCTACAACTCCCTTAATGTTGTACAGCTACAACTCCCTTAATGTTGTACAGCTACAACTCCCTTAATGTTGTACTGCTACAACGTCCATAATGTTGCACAGCTACAACGTCCTTAATGTTGTACAGCTACAACTCCCTTAATGTTGTACTGCTACAACTTCCTTAATGTTGTACAGCTACAACGTCCTTAATGTTGTACAGCTACAACGTCCTTAATGTTGTACACCTACAACGTCCTTAATATTGTACAAACGTCCTTAATGTTGTACAGCTACAACGTCCTTAATGTTGTACAGCTACAACGTCCTTAATGTTGTACAGCTACAACGCCCTTAATGTTGTACAGCTACAACGTCCTTAATGTTGCATTATGTCGTGTAGCTAGTGCCCTCGTGTAGCGAACAAAGCATACATATTTATTTCGAAATTTTCTCACCCGCCTGACTATGACCTTCCTGACAACACGGCACCCTGAAACAGTGAAGGTTTAATTTGTAGCAGGGTGGTCCTTTTGCATTATCTCCCTTTGACTGGCTGTGCGCGGCATTCCGTCCCGTCATATTTGAATTGGCATTTCCAATACCACCGAAACCACGTGGATGGCACAACGATGTATGTATGTATGTATGTATGTGTGCGTGCGTGCGTGCGTGCGTGAGTGTGTGTTAGGTGCGTTAGGTGGGCTAGGATTGAACTATTGGACAGTTTCAGTAAGTTTTAAGAAATAAATAAACTTTTCCTGAAAGTGAGTTCTCATTTCATGGTGTGTGAGTCGAAAGAGTTATTCGTTTTCCCCCGCGAACATTAAAGAAGTTGACAACCTTGAACTCGGCACACCCTCACCTTGATCTTTTATTGTAAATTGGAATGGTTGCATAGACAGGAAAAACACACAAATAAAGAAATACGATCTGCGTTTTAAGTTGCAATGGAGACAGACCTATTGAAGGATCTACAGACCCGTGCCAGTTATATTCGGACACTTGACGTCATTTCCATAGACTTACATGTTATTTCAGTGTAGCATAAATAATTTTCATGAGGTGAGTTTAGGATAGATCTTTGTAAAATTTGACAGGCAAATTCGAAATCATCAATTTCAGTTCATTTTTCCGACCACTATTTAACTAATGACATCACATTTATCAACTTACGTATAGTTCCACAATGCACAATCCCATAGACTGCCATGTTACGGCACTTCACGGCACTGTACATATGTTGATTAAATTGTTGCCATTCGATCAATAAGCAACGGAAAATTAACAAACAGAAATTATGTGATTGTAGGTAAGATGATTCCTCACAAATATGCAAAATTTGACTTGGATCATACGAAAATTAAATTCATGAAAATTATTTATGCTACACTAAATTAATATGTAAGTCTATGGAGGTTACGTCAAGTGTCCCAATATAACTGGCATGGGCCATGTAAGCCAAGCCAACGCTGAGGCGATACTTATCAACAAGTCACGTCCGTGACGGCTGTCACCTCCATTGAATATTTCCAGGAAATTATCAATTCCGTTTTAACGCGAACCTTAAAGTAAAAGTTCCCACTCTAAAAGAAGAACTATCAATATGATCATGGACACTTAAAATTCATGTTTCCTGGAAGTCATAAGATGATCATATATCTTCATTACACAATGTGGACTTGCTGAAATTCTAGAAGCAAACATTTTAAAATTATTTTTTTCATGTGCAACCCAATGAGGCCGTTTTGAATGTATACTAATCTTGCTAAACAATACTCTTTAAACATTGAGTTTAGCATATTTATGATCAATCTAATGTTCTGCCCCGATAGCAAAACCACCATCTGTGGCAGGCCTGCTTGCTTTAATGCACATGTGCAATGTCGGGCCGATAACCACATTGTAACCATGACAAGATGGCGACAGCTCCATGTTGTGACGGCGGGTTATATTGCTGTTGGGTTCTCTTTAGGTGCTCTAGTTAGTCAACTCCTCCTAAATATCTCTGTTGGCACAGACCCCCATCCCCATGGGCCCACGTCCCAGAGGTCGGACCAGCGGACCATCGACACAAGATGGCGGCAGCGGAGAGAGCAATTTATTGCTGACAAAAGATACAACAGAGGTGAGTGCAAGTTAGACGAATACCAGCATGCATGTATGCATCTAAGGGTATAACATCAATTATATACTTTCCCAAACCGTTTTCTACCATGATATAAGTATTTATTGAAAAGCATTGTTTCTTTCCAGCACGTGACGTCAGTATCAGTTCACGTATAGTACATTGGCCAGGAGTCAATTGTAACTGGGTTTGGCTGCTGCTGATCAAAAGTCACGTGATATTGAGATATACTAACTATTATCTCCTCTGTCAAGTAAGGAAATCGTCCATTTGAGTGTGCACTATGGTGTTTTCATAACGGCTGACATAGCAATACATTGAGATAAGTGCCGTTTAGGACTTTCTGAGCATTAACATATTCTCTGACATTTTTCTCTGACTGACTGACTTTTGGTTTTACGCCGCTTTTTGAAAAATATGTCAGGAACATCACGGCGGGGGACACCAGAAATCGGCTTAACACATTGTGCCCATGTGGGGATTCGAACCCGGGTCTTCGGCGTGACGAGCCAACGCTTTAACCATTAGGCTACCCCCGCCGCCCCCATTTTTCTCTCTATACATCAAGCAATGACATATAATATTAACCATTAACAAACCTTAAAATGAGGCATGAGATGTCTGCCTGCTTGTTTACCGGGGTAGCCAGTTTCAGTATTTGATTAGAATAATTCGAATTCGAGTGTCGCTACGCGTTACACGGGTAAAAAAAATATTTAAAAAATCTTAATAACGCGGTTATATGGTAGAAAAGAGGTAAACATACTGTGTTGGAAAATCAGAAGTATGTAACGAAATTATATAATAGCTCTAAGTTTGATTTAAAACCGAAACCGTAATTTAGAGCTATTATAATTTCGTTATATACCTCTGATTTTTCAACACAGTATATTTGTCTCCTAATGGCACGGCAAACATAGTCAAAACCAAATAGTCATTAATATATAGACTTTGCGTTCGTGTTCTTAAATTTCCCGGAATAATAAAAAAAAAAAAAAGTCAGAGAGAGACTATTCCATGCTGTGGTATATCGACGTGCGGAAATATACTCTCCCAAAAAAGAAACGCATATAGGAATTTCAACTGTATTTTTATGTTTCTTTGGAAACATCTCGAAATTGCACACTGGGAATGCAGACTTATCCGTCTTTTGCACCAACTCGAGGAAAGTCAGTTTGAGTTTCACATGGAGACGTGTGGTGGCGTTGAAGTCAATACCTCGTGTGACCACCGTGGGCATCCAGAACTGCACGGCATCGCCTCGGCATCGATCGAATAAGTCTCAGAATCTCGTGTTGCCCAATCGCAGCCCACTCTGCCTATAGTGCCTGTTCGAGTTGCTGAAGTGTCTGGGGCTGAGGGTTACGGCGTCGCACCCGTCTGTCCAGGGCATCCCACAGATGTTCGATTGGGTTTAAGTCCGGTGATCTTGAGGGCCAGGGGAGCACATTGATGTTGCGGTTCTGGAGGAAGTCTCTAGTGTGACGTGCTGTGTGGGGCCTGGCATTGTACTGTTGAAATAACTCCCTCTGGCGATCAATGATTGGAAGGAGGTGTGGGCGTAGGATTTCGTCACAGTACCGTTGAGCAGTCAGGTTGCCCTGGATCATCACCAAATCACTTCTCCTACGGCAGGTGATCGCTCCCCACATCATAACACTTCCCCGGCCGAATCTGTCCACCTGGGGAACGCAAGCATCGGCGAAACGTTCACATCGACGTCTGTACACCCGCATTCTTCCATCGCGTCATTCCAATAGAAATCGTGATTCATTACTGAACCAGATTCTACGCCAATTCGGTAGGTTCAAGGTCTGAACGTTGATGCACCATTGAACTCAATGTCGACGATGTTGTTGTCGAAGCACAGGGCCAAAATAAGGTCTTCTGACACGTAAACCAGCCTCTCTCAACCTGTTCCTGACGGTCTGTGCAGAAAGCCTCCTCAATCCGGGTATTTGTCGAGCGGTACAGGTCGCCGTAGCTGTTCGATGACGCAGGTGATGTACCCGGATGTAGCGATCCTGCGCCGCAGTGGTCGCTCGTGGTCGCCCACTACGATGGGGCATCTGCTACTGCATTCTGCCGGCGATATCTCTCCCAGAGCCGTGAAATGGTGCTTAGGTGAACTTTCATGCGTCGGGCAACTGCACGTTGAGACTGGTCAGCTTCAAGCAAACCAATGGCGATATGACGTGGCATTTTGCGTTCGTCAACAATATTCCAAATACAGTGAATAATCGACAGACAGCGATCAACTTTTTATACCCATCATTGAGACTATTTGATCCCCAACTTTCACGTGCATTGCATGTGAATTGTGTATTCTGTGACACTACACGCCGAAATTGAAAATCATGCTGTTAAATACGGGTATTTTACGGATGTTGCGTTTTGTTGTGATGTTTCAAAACATAAACACCATAGGACTCATAAACAGAGCAAAACATTTTGTAAAATGAATCACGTTTTAATTCACCGCTACATGAAATTGCTATTTTCATGATGCGTTTCTTTTTTGGGAGAGTATATCTATGAATGAGATGAAAAGTGTGAATATAGATTTATGTCGCTGTTATCAGTATTCGAGTGCAATGTCAGTACAGGGAAAATGGGCGTCACGCATTATAGTCATCTTGGCAATGGAACTCAGACCCTGGACGCCTCGACTGAACACTTGAACCACAAGGCTAAGCCAACGCCTTTGATGTGCTTTTATATGCATGCTACTGAAAAGAAGACGATGCTTTTATCAAAACAGACGGATCTGTGCCTTTTATTCATAACACAATATTTGAATAAATTACTGGTCGTAGCCAAAGATTAAACAGTTTTGCAGTTCCTCACTTAAAAGACGGCCACAAACTATTAGATAAAACAGTGAGGTATTTCTTTCTTGATTTCCATTAAACCTTTAACATTTATGAGTTCATAAATCCTCAGGTAATTCTAACAGTTTCTCAATTTTTAAATACATAAATGCCCAACATTAATTTAAAACTTCCCAAACTGACCCCCTTTTTGGGGGGATGGGGGTGGGAAAGAAGACCAAATATTTGACTACAACTCATAAGATCACCACATTCATCCCCGAATCTTATATTTGCAACTTGAAAAGGGCTCCATATTTATACAGTTGTTTGAACTGGACAAATATTTAATTTCATATGGGTCATACATTGATAAATGATTGTCAGTGACACCAGTCACTGTGTGGGTTTGCAGTGTTGCAAACATGATTTTATCGGCCATTTTGCAGATTTAGACTTCTCACCGAATATATGCCCATACGACTCAGGAATGAATGAGTGAGTATGGATTTACACAGCTTTTAGAAATATTCCAGCAATATCATGAAGGAGAACGCCAGAAATAGGCTTCACACATAGTACCCATGTGGGGAATCGAATCCGGGTCTTCGGCGTAACGAGCGAACGCTTTAACCACTGGGCTACCCTACCGCCCCGACTCAAGATGTTGATAATTATGAATATATGTTATGAAGATAAAGGTTATAAAATTTGCATTTTTCATTTTCATTTGTAACCAGGCCGTGATCATTATATGCGTGTCTGCTCGCTATACGCAAATAAAATTGTCAGAACAATTCCACCTGTTCACTAACCATCATGAAAGTACTGCCAGTTATTACACAGACGTTAGACGTTAAGCATTAGACTACGTTGTTTTGCTTGAGTTGTGTACACATTATACGCTGTGTGATTTTTGCATCGCTGAACTGATAATTTTGAACAAACTTTTGTGTTAAGCTGTTTGTCATTAATCGTTTTGTTTCTGAGTCAGTTAGAAGATACAGGTCGGGTTTAGATATATAGACTGAATTCATGTGGGTTACCTGACACAACCTTAGCGTTAACCCTACAGAGCAGCCGTGCCCTGTCCTGGGTTATCCATGACATGCAATTAACTCCGTAGACTAACAACTAGTCTCTGAAATGAACATATTTTACAGACAAATCTGTATAAGTAAAATCTAATGAAAAGGAGCCCAGAGACTTCATTTTCCTGAAGCTGCACTAAACTAGCCACATTTTCTAGACTTGCGTGGGTTTTCTTGGATATGTTTGCTTCAGGGTCTGTATGACAGACTATTAACTCCGTTAAACAGCTAATTAGGTTTTGTTAGAACTCTGTAGACATTCACGTCTTCAAAGCCGTTCTGTTTTCTTAACGTGAAGGAACACAAAAAACTGTATATACAAATCACACTAACCAGACCCGAGTATACGCCCCAACAGATTCCAGTGGACTAAAGGCTTGTGAGAACTGAATGAATTAATCACTTAATAGCAGTAATGACACCAGGTCTTCAACAAAAGTAGTTGCTCAACGGCTAGCACTATGTTCGTCGTTTTCATTTTCTGAAAATGTTCAAATGTAACTAAAGTACAATAGGGTAACATATACACATGGCACCTACACAAGTTTACATTCTCCCTTTTAGGAACAAAAATAATTCAAGCAAATGATCATGTACTGCTTTACACTTGCCATGACATAATAATACCCAACATGTGTATGGACCACTTCCGTGTAATGCCGTGTGATGAAAGTTATGAAAGTAGTGATGATAGGGATTAAATAGATGACATTGATGACAGTGATTAAATAGATGACATTGATGACAGTGATTAAATAGATGACAGCGATGACAGTGATGGAACAGATGACAGTGAATAATTAGATGACAGTGATTAATTAGATGACAGTGAAAGATGACAGTGATTAAATAGATGGCAGTGATGACAGTGATTAAATAGATGGCAGTGATGACAGTGATTAAATAGATGACATTGATGACAGTGATTAAATAGATGGCAGTGATGACAGTGATTAAATAGATTACAGTGATGACAGTGATTAAATAGATGACAGTGATTAAACAGATGACAGTGAATAATTAGATGACAGTGAATAATTAGATGACAGTGATTAATTAGATGACAGTGATTAATAAGATGACAGTGATAAAATAGATG